AGGTCCGAAATGTCAGCTTTCCTGCTCCTCTGATGCTGCTTGGCCTGCTGTGTTCATCCAGCTCTACACCTTGTTAATTCATTTTTCCAGTTCTTTATCTTTCATAAGTTTCATGGCACGGTGAGTTATGAACACAGTCTTTTCACCTCAGTCTCATGCCTTAATACAGCCTGGACAGAGCAGTTCAGAGCCTCTTTCAACTCCATCAGCTAAATACCAATGGAAAAGAGACATGTGAAATGAATTTTTCAGTTTCAACACAGATCACAGGGGCAGAACATCCTCATAAATTGCATACTGGTTGCCATTAAGTTACCAGAATGACTAACAAGAAGTCACTATCTGACAGGGAGAATATAAATATCAAACTGATGCAGGAGGAAGGTTCAGTCTTAAATTTGGATTAATTCATGTTATAGTGTTGAGTGTGCTTAACTCTGCAACTGACATTCTCAGTCTCGACAGGAGAGTGCAGAAAGAACTAAAAGTGTTCACTGCACAAATATTGATGCCCAGGATTTTAATTTAAGACAACACATTTATTCATTGTCAATAAGTCTCACAGTAACAAATGCAGTGACGGTTTCTTCTTAGAGCTTAAGGAAAAGCAAAACTTTCATAGGGAAGTTTGAACATTCAATTGATAATTTCATCAGTGCATCCAAAGATGTGCAAGCTAGGTGGATTGGTTATGCTAAATTGCTCATATTGTTCAGGGATGTGTATATTAGGTGTGTTAGCCATCAGAAATGCAGGGTTACAGGGAAAGGGTACGGGGATGGCTCTGTGTGGGATACTTTTCGGAGAGTTGGTGTGGACTTGTTGGGCCAGATGGGCTGATTCTACACTCTCGGGATTCTATGAACTATACATTCAGTTCAGGATTCTGAGCACCAGTTGAAAATATCTTCATGAGCCAACCATATGGTGTGTGGGGGAGGGTGTGATGAATTTTAATCTATCACTTTTAATCACTAACAATGTTGGAATTTTCTTCCAAGTATGTTTGAGTTGAGGCAGTAAATTTGAATGCTGTGAAGCACGTGGGGGGAAAAGAATTGGCTCAATCAGTTTAAATTTTAATTCTTCCTTTCTTGAATTGGGGAATTAAATAATTCAAATTAAGGTTGCCAAATTGTTGTTATTAGGATGAGGGAATTGGGGAGAGAAAATTTAAGGGCAAGTCTGCTGTACAACATTGAAAAACCAATGACTGAGAAATGAGATCAGAGCTTTCTCCACATCCCATTGCTTCACAACATACAGAGCAAATGTCCACAGCCCCTTAAGTAAAGTACTGCTGAAATGGTGCTATTACTTCTGCTCGCATATTATTAAAAATATCAAAGTGGCTTCTAAGCACTCTTAAATAAAGAAGAATCAATTCTATACTTTCAATACAGGAAAAGACAATCTGGAATAATTTGCCAAATTCAACAGTGTGAGGAAAACAAACCCATGCTGTTAAATGTGTTGAACATTCCTGATGTTTCAGAAAATACATAAATACTACGATCCCATTAAATATTCTAATGTCAATTCAGCTTTACCAACTACACAGTGCAATTTGATATGATCAGAAAATGCTCGAATGCAAGTCTGGCAGCATCTGGAAAGAAAACCAGCTGGATTTGATAAAAGGTGTACACCCAAAATATAATCTTTTTTCTCTTTAAAATTTCTGGATTATATCCTGTGCAATAGAATATTGTAGAATATTTACCTTAATGTGACATTTGCAGTTTTTTTTGTTTGAATTTTCATTTCTGGTTGAATTCCTTTCTTCTAAGACCTTTCTAGGTAATTACATTTTAGTGCATTGTTTTAAAGCTCTATGGTTGAAAGAAAACATCAGAAAGCTGCTTCTGTGAAGATATGTTCAGTAAGCTGCTGACATACACTAGATTAAAGATGCAGCAAATGAACAGTTAGATTTTAACATTTGAGCAGGGACATAATTAAAGCAGAAGGTCAGTACTTTAATTAACTCTGACCTTCCAATCTGATAGTGAATACAGCCATTCACTGAGGTTCAGCATAGGTCAGTTTTATACTTATTTCAGGTTCACACTTTACAATATATTGGTTGGCTTAAAGATTAGCTCGGTGTTGAAAATCAGAACAGAGTGATCAATCAATGAGATCATTTTCCAGTATATTTCACCTTTAAAGCAATAATGAATTTGAACATGTTTATATAACAGGGCTTTTACTGCACTGGGCATTATGAGGTGAAGCAGAGTTCAAAACCCTGAAATGCATGTACCTTAAGAATTCACTGTTGTCTTCAATCAGTAAACTGGAAGTAATGTAGAAAACTATGCACAAAATACTAAAGTATTATTAAAAGAGATAACTGGAATGAGAAGGTATTAAAATTGCAGGTTAATATTTTGGTTAAGTGCACTGGCTTCATTGGGAGGTGCAGTGGGTAACATCCCTGCCTCTGAGTCAGGAGCTCTACATCCAAGTCCCACTCCACAACTTGATGACCAAGGAAAGTGTTCATCTACGTGGCAAACAGCTTTATTATTATCCTGAAAATCCTTCCACTACACATTATTTACAGGGGATAATTGTGGGAGAGATGCCTGTTAGCTATGTGATGGAAAGAGCAATGGAACCTCTCTAATTACCGGCTACAGCTCCAGACCACAACAAGCATGTAAATGTTCAATTGTCACAGCAACTCAGACTTCCTGATTGATTCTTACAATAGCCATTTTCAATACAACAGGAAATATTAGAGCATTTTGCTGAGTTAAATATAATCAAGAAGTAAAACAACTTCACAAGTTCTTAGAACACTACTTGAAATACATATGCAGTGTTGAATGCTGGTTTACAAGCTGTTGAGGTGCTTGGCTACTAGTTTCCTTGTGTTTTATAATGGTGATGCTAACCACTGAGCATAGTTGCCTTGGCTCCTACAATATAACAAGGACTATACCTCATTTATACTACAATGCCTGGAAAGCATTCTGGGACATCTGGAGTATGCGGGAGTTGCTTTTTGAACAGAAATTCTGCCTTTTCTGTACACATTAATGTACAGGGTGGTCAGTATCTACACTTCCTTCAAACTTTGTGACAAGAATGTTTAGTTTTGTCTTAATAGTTTCAATTATTCTTAATTTGTTGTTTATGTAAAGCCAACATTACAGGCTTTTAGAAATTAATTTGCACTTTTATATGTTTTTGAAGACATATTAGTTCATATTCCTACATTCTAATGAGAGAATCTTAAAGACATTTTTCCATGTCTGACTAAAATGTCATTATAGTTTTTTTTCCATGAATGTTGTTAGTCATGAATGAATTATTTTATTAATACAATTATTGGTGAATAATTTGACAGCATTTAGGTAATTGTCAAATGTAAGTTGATCTAAATGTGTCAATTACTTGTCTCTGTACTTTCAAGCAAACAATTTTGTTCATTGATTTCTGTGCTCCTTTAGTTAATTACTTGGTGATCAAACCAAATATATGTAAATCCTGGGACCACGTTGATCCTGAATTTAAGGGATCCCAAATAAGAGAAATCAGTTTTACAAGCTACAATGAAGCGTTTTTTTTAATTCAAAGGCAATTTGTAAAGGTTGCACATGGAAAGTTGCACTGCGTGAAAAATAAGATTTAAACATGTTTTGACTTCTTTTCACTGACTCATGCTCCACAGGCACCAGTCACTGAAAATGGCTCAGCCAACCGCTCAAATTCCAAGTGTGAGCCCGATTGGTGTTGGCAGGCTATTTGAAGCAGGGCGGCTCTGCAGTAAAGCTTCAATTTGTTCTCACCCAAAGTCCAGTCACAGACACATTCCATCAGAAGTAATCAGGATGTAGGAAATCCACTTAAAACCTAATCTCACTTTGAGATGAAACCCAAGCCTTGCTTGAACTGTACAGCAGTGCTGCACTCAATCCTTAAGACTGGCCTAGTCAGCCAAAAAGTGAAGCTACCCCTTTCCCACCAGAGTTGCTACATGTCAATCATCTGATGCACAAGGAAGGTTGCTGACAATGACAGCTGCGTGTTGCATTTGGGAGTTAACTTATCTACTAAGCACTTGCGGAATTTTATGCTTGTTTTTAAAAGAAAACTATATCATGTTAATTAAACAGCAAAGGGAGTAATCAAATCAATCACATGAGGTGAATGCTTAGCACTGTTAATGATCTGCAGCAGGAACTGACTGTAGTGTGAGTTATAAATATGCAGTGTGAATAGATGCTGACTTGCTTGTTATCTTGCATATTCGATGATGTGTGCCTCCAGCTTACCTCTGCCGTGTGATGAGATTGATGTAATGCCTGAGAGCAGAGTAGTACTTCGCCAGTTCCTCAGGAGGTGCATCTTCTCCTGGATTCTCAGGTTTGGGAGGATAGGCATCCACCAAGGTCCCGAGGCACACCAGCACACAGATAGCAAAAGCAATCAGGGTTGTCCAAGGTTTTTGAACAGCCACCATCTGTCACATAGGGAAAGAAACGCCAAAGTCAGTGCAACATGCCTGGAAGAGACAGCTAAGATTCAGCAAAAGACTGTTTATAAATAGTTGACTATGTCTAGGTTATTTAGATGCTGGTTTAAGTTTTTATGTCATTAATATTATGACACTATAGTACTGGAAGAATTTCAATGATGCTTTTCATATTTAAATATGAGTACTGACTAGAGCACATAGAGTATTCAAATTGAGTGTGCATTTCTAAATTGAGAAAAAAAGCACACATAATTTTTTGGGTTCTTTTGAAAAAACAGGGCTTATGCAACTTCACTACTTAGATTACAGTGCCATTGATCTTTACTGGCGTAGAAACATAATTGACAATGAGTAGTGGGATGTACAAATTCAGAGGGAGATGTGGTTAGGGGTTTTGGTGAGTGGGGAATGAAGAAAAGAGGTGACTGTTGCAGAAGGAAGCAGTCACCAAAAGACAGAAAATGTGAGCAAGGTCAAGGAAGAAGTCTCTGTTATTGGGTCTGCTAACAATCAGTCCAGAAACAGAGCTGGAACTTGTCAGAACTCTGCTGATTCAAAGGATAATTTGAAAGAAAAGTGCATAAAAGGAATAACAAGAGAAATGTGCGCATTCCTTGGGGCTCGTTTGCTTTTAATTTCCTGAAAATGTGTAATGTTTGATTCTAATCTAGTGTGCAAGGTTGTAAATCAAACTTGTATGGATTTGGCAATTACACGAGTATTTAAAGAGAGCATATATGATGATTCAAGCAAATAAAAGAATTTATAATTTCATGAATTAGGCCACAAATGTAAGGCACCTACACAAAAACAAAATTTCAAAATTAAAAGAGGGATTAACAGAAGCATGGAAAAACAGATCAAAAATCTGACGAAGTTGACCATTAGTATGTAAACATCAATCGGGAAGTTCTATTTATGATCAATAACATTTAAAACTAACACCTGTAAACCATACAGTCTATGTTTGAAACACCTACCAGTCTGATTGTAAGGAAAAGAAAATGACATTTAATTTATTATTAAACATCATACAACCGAGCACTTGCAGGCATGAATGGACTAAAGGAGAAGAATTAGTAACAAATTAGCATCTGGGTGAACAAATAATGGATGTAAATGTTCTGATGATTTTAAATCAATCATAAATGATCAACACTATCCACTTTTAGTTCCAACACTTTAAGGATTAAAGGCTTCAATAATTTGACTGAAAACTGTGAGATACTTTCTCATTTTCTACTGATCTATACGAATTAGATCATTGCCATGGCTTATATTTCTATCTCTTTGTTCTCTCCATATGAATTATTTAGACCTGTGTCATTAGGGTAGTTGAAAATGATGCCATTATTGAAATTAACTAGCAAACTCAACTAAGTGAAGTATCCATCAGTTACAATACAAAATTATCCATTTTCTATCGTTCCCTTATTTGCTGCTTTATGAGATATATTGACGTTTCTTTCATTTGGAACCGAGCCAATATATAGTACTGCATCATTCAGTGGAGTTTGGTTAAATGAACCAAATGAACCAATGCTAGTCTCACTCGCAAGCACTTGTGGTTCAGGCATAATTAGGATTGGAAAATTAATTTTGTGGAAATCTCATAAATGTTAACTGGGATCCCTTTGTACCTTTCAAGTCCTGCAAGAGCTACACAATAGACTTAAAATACGGCAGAACATACTGCTAACAAGTTAAACCATCATAAGTCATACTATTAAAGTCACTATGTCAAATAACTCATTATTGTGCTTGGTACATCAAAGGGGTCCTTCAAATGAAAACTCTGGTAAACTCTTCTGGATTTAAAGCAACCATGCAAACTTTTTTTAAGCAATCAAAATCAAAAGGGTTTTGCCAAACACTTTATTTCTTGTCTTGAAACAGTTTAGTTCATTCAGCATGTATATTTACTGCAAGTATTTTTGTTGTTTCTCTCCGGTAATCAATTGGATTCCTTATCTCCATTCCTACCTCACACATTACAGTTACAGCAAAAGTCAGAATCTACTACATAACAGTTTTTAAAACGACAGCAACACTATTGAAGCAAAAACAGAATGTGCCGGAGAAACTCAGCAGGTCTGGCAGCATCCTTCCCACAGATGTTGGAGAGACCTTCTCCAGCACTTTCTTAGGAAATTCTCTGTTGCACTTCAGCAAAAGTTAGAGCTACAAAACCACCAAACCCCTCTTCCGATGTGAAGTTGCACTGTTTGAAGTTTCGATCTGTGCTATTCTTTGCATCTATAGCCTACACTGTCAAACAGCATTTATAAATCTTAATATCATTTCTGTGAAAGTTGAACGGGGTAGAGAGAGGGTGGAAAAAGAGGCATCATTAACCAACTTGAGAACTGGATGAAGCTCATGTTGTACTTACATTTGCTATTGTCTGGATGTCTTGACGATCAGAGAAAATCCTAGTGTGTGTCTGTCCTGCCCGCTGCTCAGCCGTGTTCAGGTCTCTTCTGGAGCTGCTCAGAACTTCCAGCTCCTTTTTATATACGCGGCTGTGAGCCCACGAGGGAGGCGGGCTCCTTTGTCAACACCTCCTTAGACTTTTTTTTTGCATTCATGAGTTATTGAAAAATCGATTTCCACTCACTTTCCTTGCTTCCCCGCCGGCCCTGACAAGATAGCTTATCACCCGTAAAACTCATAAAATCCGCCTCCCTCCCTAGTAAACAGGAAGGAACAAATAGACCAGTATCCGAAATGACATTCACAATTCATTTCCAAGGTATCTTAATTCCTATTCAAACCGTTTTAATCCATGCGTACATTATTTGGGGAGGGGACGGGGAGGTAATGGATGTGCATGAATGTCTAAATTCCACCTTCTAAAGTGACCGATTTGTTGCAATATTGTTTTCTAAATGTGTTGTTTTGGTAATTCTCCAGACGAAACAAGCTATATGACCGATCATTTTGATTTCTCACATAAATCAACATTTCAAACCAAGAATTCGATCAAACATTGAACAGTGCTGTGTTACCTTTGCTGCATGTGTCCTTCAAATCATGAAAAAACTCGATCACTTTGCATTTTCTACAAAACACGCCGCTGAATTAACAAATCTGACAAAAGTCCAGTGGTCTCCTAGGTTTCGTCTGTAACAGAAAACAAACTTTTGATTCATTTAAATAATCTAGACTCGAGTGCCGAACTGTTTGATTTAAGGTGGGAAATCACGGAAGTGCATTGAACTCAAACTAAAACAGAAAGTGCTGGAGAAACTCAATAGGTCAATATTGAGTCTGCCATCGTCCGAGTTCCTCCCCAGCAGTTTGTGCTTATATTTCAGATTTCCAGCATCGGCAGTTCTGCTTTATTTTATTGCATTAAATTCAATCCAAACAAATCTTGCAAACAAGGAAAACACTGGTTGGTCAGCAAAGACCCAAAAAATACCAGTAAAAGAAATTGGTTTATATTTTAAAGTTTGCATCTGGTCAAACGCGAACCAGCCTTAGCATAACCCTAGCTGAATCTGCATTTATCTTAACTGCACTGTATTTGATTTTGATTCTGCCTGTTAGAGTTAATATTGGCCCCGAAAAATGATGTGAACTTCCAATGAGGTTTTCACTACAGTCTTTCCTAGTGAATCCCACTAGACGATGTGACATCAATAGACGGACGCTGGTATCCCACAGCAGTTCTGATGGAGACAGCAATTTCTTTATTTCATGATTTTGCTTGAAATAAAACTAATATCCACGAAAAATAAACTTATCAAGGAACACCGTAGAAAGCTGGACGTAAATAAACATTAAATATGGATTGAGTTCCTTTGTGGATAATTACGCCAAATGTGTTTTACAAAATTCTACGCTTGACATGATATTGCCTAAACACTAGCAACTTTAAATGTGGGCAGGTGGTTCACTGAGATGTTTAGCCGCCATCTGGGTAGGAGAAAGGAGAGAAGTTAATCGCGCTGAAAACAAAACACAGCTAGACGTGGATCAGTTAAACTTTCATTAATTTACAGAGTGCAAAAAAAACAAACGTTTTGTTATATGTAGATGGGCTACACCAGGGTAAACTTTCAATTGTTTTGACGATTTAACTGAAGCGAGAAAGAGGAGTTCTATAAATGTTACACATTTGACAAGTGTGCGTTAGACTGGTGCTGCTATGCAATGAAAACAGGTCCCAGACCATGGTAATACGCGCTTTCCAGGAGCGGATCTTGTGGTAAAGTACCTTTCCGTCGGAATTGCTGTTTGCCCTGAAAACGTGTAGGTGTCGCAATTACCCAGCACTCCTCTCTGCAGTCTCAATCCAATCTATAATCTCCTACCTTGATAACATTGCTTTCCCAGCTGTATATTTTCTGCTGTTGTTTGACGTTTTAAGTTAAACGAGTCTTACAGCTTTTCAAGCCTTCTTAAATTTGGATGAGGATGAGTTTCTATACAATAGCGTTTTATCAATAAGCTCACTTTATAAAGATGCATCCGTAAAGTTAGATTTGCTGAGGTAAAATGCAAAGGCTGTGGTCTGTAGGTATTACTGATACTATTTCTTTTAAGACAATTGGCGATGGACTTTTTCTTGAACACTTCATGTGTGAGTCTCTCAGACCAAATACACAATCAGGCTACGGCTGACATAAACAACAGAGGGTCTGGTAACTTTTCATCACATACTTTCAGAATTGGGGATCAGTGGATGTATTTTAAAGCACCTAGCTTTACCACTGCATTCTGATACAGAGGTAGAATGAATGGCTATGGATAGCATACATTGAACTGATATCATTGTGTCTCACTTTCTTTCCAGGGCACTACCATGGTGCTGAGGTTTTGTGCATTAATTTTCAATGCTGGCCAAATGTCCTTCAATCCATATGATAAAAACTGATTATCTTTCATTGTCACATTGTCTTGGTGGGAGCTTGCTTTGTACGAATTAGCTGCTTTATAACAATGTCCATACTTCAGAGTTATTCCAAATTTGTTGTACAGTACTGTGGGATATCCTGGAATGGTGAAAGGTGTATATAAATTAAATGATTGCATTAATATTTCATTAATTGGGAATGACTTGGGTTTAATTCTCCAGTGCGCTCCCCAGCCGAGCCAAGGGAGAAATGGCCAAGTAATGTCTTCCTATAGCAGGACCTGTCAGGGATGAGAGAAATAATACTCAAGTAGAACTGCCCTAGGTAATGCCTTCTGCCTGTTTTGCAACTGGGCAAAGATGTGGGAGCAGATTCCGTTTTCCGTTGGATGGGTGTGAACTGAAGAATGCTGAGTACAATTGGGATAACATACTGACATAAAAAGTACACTGAAATTCTTCCTGAAAACCAGTATTCCTCTCAAACAGACCAACCATACTCTGTTTCGATGCATGTATTATTTATTGAAAGCTTGATGGTATTTCTTTATATTACCTATATTCTGTTACCATATTCAATGTATCTATGTAACGTTGGGTGATTTATGGTGGTTGAATGCCAGTGATAAGAGATATTAAATCATCTCTGTTCTGAGCAAATGTCTGTTGTAAGGTAACGTAAGGGAGCTATCTCTCGTATTTTTATTGGTACACATACAGAGAACTAAACTGATCATTTTCAAAAATAATTTATTCCATCACTTCCATTTAACTTGTTGGTGTTGCTAATGTGAGGTAACCTCACTTTTATATGTCAAATCCAACATCTGATCAAGCATCCAAATCTTTGCCTAATGTCCATTAGCTGAGTGAACACCCACACAGACAATGGAGGAAGGCACTTATCTCCTTCCACCCACTAAGTAAAGGTCTTTCCAATGGTACATCTATTACTTATGCTTGCCTTTATGTCATTAACTATTCACTTAAAGATAGCAGCGGTACTGAGTAAACAGCCATTTTGTTTCAGTTTAAAGTGATTTTCCATTTGTTTGCTACATCATCGATCACTTCACTCAACTTACTTGCTCAGCAAAGTGAAAAATAAGCCAAGAAAAACTTTATTTGAAACAAAAAAGAAATTGCTGGAGAAACTCAGCAGGTCTGACAGCATCTGTGTAGAGAAAGCAGAGTTGAACGTTTCAGTTCCAGTGACACTTCTTCAGAACTGATTGTAGCTAGGGAAAGGTTGGTGGGGGGTGGAGGCGGGGGAATGGATGGAGTAAACAATAGGTGGAGATGGAGCCCAGAGATAGAGAGCAGCAGGTGGACAGACAAAGGAATGGGTAAAGGATCAATAGCTGCTAATGGAGACCATTAGTGGCTGACAATGGGATAGTTGTGGTAGCAGCCCATGTGATGAGAAGGCCTGGGGTGTGGAGATTTGGGGAAAGGACGTGGAAGAAGGTGTTCAGGCCCTAAAATTATTGAGCTTGATATTGAGTCCTGAAGGCTACATGGTTCTCAAGCAGAAAATGACTTGCTGTTCTTCCAACTCACACTGAGCCTCACTGGAGCACTGCAGCAAGCCTGAGACGGTGATATTCAGGGAACTCAGAGTCATTTTTGTGGACAGAATGTAGATGTTCTGCAAAATGATCTCCCAGTCTCCATTTAGTTTTCCCAGTGTAGAGGAGACCACATTGTGAGCAGTGAATACAATAGAGTAGATGGAGTGAAGTGTCTCTGGGCTCCATCTCCACCTATTGTTTACTCCATCCATTCCCCCGCCTCCACCCCCCACCAACCTTTCCCTAGCTACAATCAGTTCTGAAGAAGTGTCAGTGGAACTGAAACGTTCAACTCTGCTTTCTCTACACAGATGCTGTCAAGTAAATTGCTGCTTCACCTGTGTCTGGGTCCTCGGTTAGTGAGGAAGGAGGAAGTAAACAGGCAGGTGCTACACCTTCTACGATTGCATGGGAAGGAGCCATTGGGGTATGGGCAGGTGAACGGAGTGGAGGAAGACTGGACTGAGGTGTCCCGGAGGGAATGGTTGCTGTGGAAGGCTGACCAGGGAAGGGAGTTGAAAATGTGTCTGGTTATGGCATCCTGTTGGAGAAGACTGAAATGGTGGCTAATGGTCCTTTGGATGTGGATGCAGATGGGGTGGTAGGCCTGAAAGTAAAGAAGAGGAGGACGATCTTTGGTTTTTGAGCCTGATTAGCTAAGTGCTTGATTTTAAGACCTATAAAACTTCTAAATCTTAATCCCTTTTTTGTAAATTAGTAATAGTGAGTAAGGTGAGGGCATCTTTTTTATATTTAACTGTGACCTGTCTCTTGATTGACTGTTAATATTAAGGATTCATATTAAGTTATCCCAGAGCAGTAAGACTGTACAGCGCTGCATTTTTGAGCAAAGTGTGTTGTGTTTATTTGTAGGTAATTTCTGGGTCTGTAGATTGTTAAAGGGGCAGAAATGGTTTATCGAAGGGTGATGTGCGCTTCCTGTCAGATGTGGAAGAATGCTGGAGAATTTGAATATTCCTGGAGACAATGTCTGCAGGAAGTGTGTTTGGTTGTGAATCCTGTCGGATCACATGGATCGGTTGGAGTGATAGTTAGAGGCAATGAGGAGTTTACAGGAGCTGGGGCGG